GTAGTAGTAGTAGTAGTAGTAGACTGACCATCTTAAATCTTGACAGAGATCTCTGACTTTCTCTCTGATGCTGAGTGTGATCACATCATCTACATGGCTCAGAACCAAGGATTAGAGACATCATCAACCGTACGAGACAGCAGTGAGTTGGATATCAAAAACCTTGGAGAAAACACAGAAGATGAGTTCAAAGAGTGGGATTGCGACGGCAATGGTCAGATAGATATGGATGAGGTTAGCCTTGTCGGGGATTTGTAACTGCGTATACTTTGATCAACGTCAGCACACATCGTCATTTGCGCGTGCAATATATTGAAGAAATAAAAAACGCGCGCGCGTGCTGTGTGCATTCATAAAGCACGCGGGGTTGGCAGAACACGAGAGAAGTGTTAGGAGAAGCACGACGCGTAGCGGAGTGCTTCTGGACACTTCTCGAGTGTTCTGTCAATTTCCAAGTGCTTTATGACTGCACAAAGCACAGCAGGCAAGTTTTTATTTCTTTTATAAAATGCAAATTACAATAATAGATAGGAATGACGAAACGGAAAGTGCGCGCGCGTGCAATGTGCTCTCATAAAGCACGCGCTCCAAACCAATCAGAACGCGACATTCATAACAGTTATTTTATAAATCAACATATATTGACTCAATTCTACACAAAATGTAGCCTAACCCTAAGCAACAGAGTATTCATGCTTCACGCAATAAACGCTAATTAAACGATCGAGTACCAAAAGTAATGGTCTCATGGATGTTACCTAATGCACGTGTTACGGGATATTGTGAGCCATAGAGCTCTAACATGTGTCGGGTTTATGTTGTTGTCATCAGATGCTGAAAACTCTTGATGTTCAAGTCGGATTCTCGCCAGATAGACAGACGGTGTTGGATATGTGAGTAATACTATTGAATGTTGTGTTCCCATTAACACCACCACCACCGCCGCCGCCGCAGCCTTCATTTGCATGTGGGGCAGTGTTGCCCAAGAGTCATGAGTACGCTCCAAGTATACTGCAGATATACTTGCAACACTGACAATAAAACTTTGTACGTCAACAGGTACGCAAATACTGGTCTGGATCAAGACCAAAATGGTGAGCAAGAAGTCTTGAAATATTTCAGTAGCAACGTTAACAAATGAATGACTATTAAAATATGCTCCTTTGTATGTAAGGTGTGATAAGCCTGGAAGAGTTCCTAAAGCTTAATACTACAGCTATAGCAGTGTTTATCAGACACGTTAAACAAGAACAACCACACACTAAGGGTCGACATAGTGAACAGACCTGGCTTGGTGAAGAAAGTGCACAAGATCCGGTCCTAAAGTCCATTCAAAGAAGGTTAGTTGATGATACCTTATAATTAGTGGAGCATGTAGCCCCGCGTTTAAAATAACGCTCTGACGTCCCTATCTCTCCCTTAATTCAAGGACGCTCCTAAAGGTTCTCCGGATTCCTCTCTTCGCAAAACCAAACACCTAACACACTAATTAACTCCAAACCTAGAGGTTGCTTGAGGGTATCGATAGAATGTTAAGTTTTTTTGGAAGGCGGTCTCTGGGTAGAGAGTGGTAGCGAGAGCGGCGGGAAAGGAAGGGTTGCATGAGAATTCCCGCCATCCACAGGATCCCTATCAACAGTCACGCACATCATGATACACCCTATCAACAGTCACGCACATCATGCATACACCCTATAAACAGTCACGCACATCATGCATACACCCTATCAACAGTCACGCACATCATG